ATCATGCGCGGATTATAGTTCCGCTTTGCGTACCTTAATTGCAATATTAAAAGCACTTTAGGTAATTTACGTCGGTAGGAAATGTGTTGGTCATGTAGAAGTGGAGTTCCTTCATTTTCCGCAAGTAGCGCTCGCGTCGTTAGATCCGCGAAAATTTGAGATCCTGGGTCCCGATTCCGTGGAAACGACCATTGTCGTTATGACTCCTTGTATTACTTCATGCTTTCCCTAGGATACAGTCCACTAGGAACGACGGATTAACGAAAATCTGTAAGTAACGAAATCCGAATATCTGAGTCCCTTGTTTCAAAAGTACCGAGGAAGTTTCAAAGCACCGAGCAAATTTCGCTAGTCAAAGATTGACTCTGAAACACTAGTCCTCAGAATTTATTATCATCGAATTACAGCAAGAATGACTAAGTTTGAAATTCCTGATTAACTCGGGTCCTTGTTCTTAGAATTAGCCCTTTGTAATTAATAATCTAGTCCGTGAACGTGTTACATCAAATAGCGAAGTTTGAGAGCAGAGCTTAAGGTATTATGGAAGGGTCATTCTGTATATATCGAAACGTCAATATATTCATAATACTTTTCTGCAAACTGGGTATACCGAATAATTTGAAACATTAACACGTGATTATAGAGGTCCAAATAAAGATCTTGAAACTCATGGATTTTTATTTTTCGAAAATAAGATGTATTTATCCCGGACAAGAACCAGAAAGATATTTTATATTTTCGAAAAATGAATTTTCATTTTAAATGATTCGGTGCATACAGTTTGGAGAAAACCTTTATGAATATTTTAATGTCTTTGGATATATAGAATCACCCTTTTAAAACACCTTAATTTTAGAGAAATTTCTGAAAAGAAGGAAAGCGCAAAAGGTACGTTGCAGAGTTTAGCCCTAAGCGGACGATTCCTTGATGTCGTACCGTTGGTATCCTCGAGATATAAATGCAAGGACTCGTACTTGGGGTATGAGTACACGTACTCGCGTAAGCGCGGGCCAGTACGTGCGGGTGCATGTACGAGTGCATAAAACTTGGAATGGATGGGGCGTTTCGTAAATCTTTCGGGTAGGTAACTCATCTACTAAGGAAGCCCAGTTACCGCGAGTTGTTTATGCTTTCCTGCGCGCGCCGCTTTCTGAAATATGCAAATCGCGAATTCGTATAATGGTACTATCGCGATAGGGTCGGAGCCACCGAGTAGAGGATGTAGCACCAGTTATGTCTCGGTGGACCGATATCGAATGACCCTATCTTCGCTTTCCACGGTTCCGTGGCAGCACGGAAATACGTCCGAGTCTACTTCTATCTTCTCTCACTTTGTTATTCACTTTACTACTCTTCGACTCCGATTCTTCATTCCGACTACGCCTTCCTCTAAAACAAAAAAACGAGATTAACACTAGAACGACCGGCAGATTTTTTTTTCAATAGGATGAGCCAATTGAAACAAGTCATTTTGACCCCTCTTGGTAGTTCTAGTGTTAAGTAGTCCTACTTCGAGAAAACCTAATCTTCAACAAAACAATGAAAAAATAAATCCACACAACCAATAAAATTACACTTTTATTTCCATACAAATAATCTTACGTTAATATAAAATTGTACAATGTATTTCTCTTCGACTCCGATTATTCATCCCGCCTGCGCCTTCCCCTAAAATAAAAAAACCGTGATTAAGTTCCCACTGAGGTCTTTTACAGTGTGCGCACGAAATCTTATTAAAATTTCATAAATTGTCAATTAACCTTGTTTATATGACAGTAAATTAAGAAAATAATTTTTCCCATGTTTCCTAGGCGAATTCTCCCACGTGCGACGGTGAGTTCGTTTTATCTACTTTCTTTTAATTTACCCAAAGATCTCTTTCGAGTTTCCGGGAAGGGGTTTTCCAGTCGCAGTGTGCGCACGAAATCGTATTAAAATTACATAAATTGTCAATTAATCTCATTGATATGCCATTAAATTCAGAAAATAATTTTTGCCAAATTTCCTAGGTGAATACTCCCATGTGCAACGATGAGTTCTTTTTACTTTCTTTGTTTTTTTAACTTACAAGATCATCTTTTTCGAATTTCCGGCTCGGCCGACGTCATGCCGGGATAAAGCGTTTCCCTTCGCCCGACTCGTACATTCGGCGGCGTCTCGCGCACATTTCGTTTCGAATGCGAAACGCAAGCCTCGCGAACACTAGGAGCCTCGCGGCGCGGTTTATTATCATTTTATTCAGATGCGTTTCGCCGGTGCTGCCTTGCGCCGTGTACCCTCCCCTTGTCTACCCGACCCCTTTCCGTCTTCCTAACCTCCAAGCCACTCCCGACCGCGCGGGACCTTAAATTTAAGGTTTCCGTCGACATGGCCGCCCATAAATTTCCACACTTGGACCCCCGATTTTTTTCGACAAATTATGCCGCCCTGCGCGCAGGAACTCGACTCTGCCTCCCACAAGGACGCGCCCAAGGAAGTCCGCTTCATTTCCGCCGAAATTCTAGAAAATTCTCGAATTTATTTCCAAGTCATAACTATTCTAATTATGTCACCTATCCTTCGCAACACTAAACTCGAGCACGTTGTCTCTGGGAGATTTTTGTCGAACATTATTCAATGCTTATCGAATTGATGTGTCAAACATTGGCGTTAAGTATTCGCTGCCGTCCGCGCAAACTATTAAATGTTTTTGGCGCGAAACTCTACTGAGTTTCTTGATTTAGTCACATGGACCTAAGAATATATGGACGGAGCCCAAAGTCCCATCTTAGATCAGGGGGAGAAGCCTGCGCGTCGGAAAAGGAGGACGTATCGTTGGCAAATTTTTCAACCTCCTGATTGGTAGGTCACCTGCTTCATATTTCCTGTCTGCTTTAACTTATTTCTTTTTGCCGGTCTTGTAAGTAAAACATAATTTTTAACCTTCTTTATGCTACAAATGGCATATTGTATATCATTCATTGTTTATTTGGTCACAGTTAGCACCGTTCTTCACTCGCTACTCTTAAAATGACAACTAATCATCTAATCAGCAGCCAACAAGACATCCAGCCAGCGGACAAGATAGCCAATCAGGAAGCTAAGATTTTGGAACAACATTACACATCCTTGCCATTGTTCATACGTGTTCCCCCTTACTTACTCCGGCACTCGCCACTCTGGCTTGGGCTCCGTCCATATGTTCTTAGGTCCATGTTTAGTTACTCTTTTCGAATGTAGATATCCCTGGAGAGACTTCTGAGATACTTAAGTTTTAATCACTTCGTTACGGATTATTAAAAATGTTGAGAGGGAAGAAAATTCAAATTTGTGTCGACCTTATAAGAGCTGACAGTTCGTTATTTAACTGTTCAACTTTACGGGACTGCTTCCGTCATCTTGCGGTGGCGATTTGAGTTTAGAGGGATGACACACTTCGCATGGTCGGTATTTACAATACAGTAAATGCAACATTTATTTATCGTTACCGTTTTAGGATCCCCGATTGGTATCAACAAAATTTTGCCAGACTTCATGTATTTTTTCTTCGTTTTCGGATTTGCACGACTTGAATAAGAAAATAGTACTAAATGCCCACGTCTCATGTTTCGCAGTTATCGACGAACGGTCGTCTAATGGATTCGTATTGAAACTACATTTGTAACATAGCGGATTTCGACGTTACCTACAGATTCGAAATCTTTCTTCCCGGCCTAGTCGAGACAGAAACCTAGTTACCTAGGAGTACTGACCGACGTTACCTACAAATTCGAAATCTTTCTTCCCAGCCTAGTCGAGACGGAAACTAGTTACCCAGTAGTACTGACCGACGTTACCAACTGAAGGTATTTTAAATATTCGTTGAATTGTTACTAATTCAATACAATAGTTCATATTGGATATCTATGAATTAAAAATGTTGACAATTCAAGCTATAAGGCCCGTTCGAACGATTAGTCGGACACGTCTCTTTTTATTTTGGCCCTAAATTAATATGTTTAAAACTCATTAAAATCCCCAAACCGTTTGAAGTGACCTTCCCGGTGCTATTGTTTTAATATATTGGACTATTATTAACATGTTATAAATGAAATTATAGTCTATTTAGAGTACTCGTTACGGCACTTTCTCTTTACAAATATATTTTATTTTTGTAGGCACCGTGACGGCCTTACTGCATTCCTAAAATAACGTTTCAAACTCTTAATACAATTCAAAGATGGGGCAACGATTCGGTACATCAGGTACTTGATATACTTGGCAGATGGCGACGTATCACTTGTCTAATTCGATGTCTCAAGTAACCGATTTGAGTCAGAGACGGCGCTTTAACCTTCGTCCTGTTTTTGAAACGGTGCCTCGGGTACCAGAGGCATCCGCAGGAATAATGGCACTCGTGTCGCAAAAATTTGATAGCTGTGTCCGTTTGAGCCATGGACGTAAGAACATCCATGGTTTGAGCAGAGATTGAGCCTGGCTACTCTCATCAGAGATGAGTTGGGAGATTGCTTACGGGCAGGATCGTGCGATCGCATCCTGCGCTGCCCTCTGGTTTCGTACGTTAGCTTTCACCGTTTTTTGCCCCCAAGGGCGGCGCAACAAATTTCTAATAGGAGCTCGCGCACTCGCGATGGCGGTACCATTTACCAGTCGCCATTGGCGGCTCACGGACTTGTGATGGTAATACCATGTGGCAGTTGACGGTGGTGGCTTATCTACGCTTATCATACTGCTCGCTTTTGATGGTAAGGGAAGAACACTCGTGACGCTCCATTTGACTTTATCTACTTATCTACTACTATTAAGTACATTGATGCCACGAAATCGACGTGATGCGGAGCTTTGGGGCACGCGTCGGTGTCGCATACGGAACTCTCGTGCAGCGAATCTATGTGAGTGCGATAGCTCCTAGAAATCTTCGCGCGTCCCAACCAGCCAAGCGCCAAGCTACAGGTCGAGACGTTGAGTATGTGTGCATACTCAAAACGGTGAAAGCTAACGTACGAAACCAGAGGGCAGCACAGGATGCGATCACACGATCCTGCCCATGAGCAATCTCCTAACTCATCTCTGCGCTCATCTTCTCTCTGCTTTAACCTGTATATTCAACAAATGTTAAATATTTTCATAACTGAATTAGTGAAAAATGGGACAAAAAAGGAAAAATCGTGAGGCAAAGGAAGATGATTATGGATATGATCCTGTTCCGAAGCACTTTCAAGTTGCTCATATTAAAAATCAAGAGAAACGTCTAATAATAATTTTAGAACAGGCCCAACTCGAATCTGTAAAAGTGAGGTTACCTTTTGATATAATTGTAATAATGTGTGATACAATTTAATTAAGGAAAATTTTATTCACTATCGAAGGTAGGAAACAATTTCCAGTTGCTGAATTGCGATGATCACACTAGCGTGTTGAAAAAGTACAATCGAGAACCAGGTACTTGCAGACCCGACATAACACATCAGTGTCTGCTCATGTTAATGGATAGTCCTTTAAATAGGGCAGGGCTTTTACAAGTTTATGTACATACTGAACGGAACGCCTTGATAGAGATCAATCCACAAACCAGGATCCCAAGAACATTCAAGCGTTTTGCTGGTCTTATGGGTATTTATTATAAATTTAATATAAGGTCCAATTATGGCTCAAATTGAATACTGTGCATTTCTTTGGTTTAAATAATGTATTTTTTTTATTCAACAGTACAATTGCTGCATAAATTCAGTGTACGGGCATCGAACGGATCGATGAAACTGTTGAAAGTAATAAAGAATCCTGTGACAAATCATTTACCTGTAGGATGTCGGAAAATTGCAATGTCATTCAGTTCAAAGGTTGTTAAGAATCCAAGAGAATTAGTACCTGCAGACGAACCGATTGCAATTGTAGTTGGTGCAATGGCTCATGGTCAGGTAAATCTTTAGTTATTAACATATTGAAATACATATCAAACATGAAACATATCAAAACAAGCGCCGAATAACCTAACACGAGTCAGTTAATCGTCAGAGACCACTGCATTCAAAGTGTTAAATTGTACTTCTACTTAGTATATTTATTCTTTTTAAAGGATATTTACACTGTTATTATTCTAATACCTTCTCCTTTCAGGTTCAAGCTGATTATACCGAAGATACTTATTCTATAAGTAACTATCCTCTTTCTGCTGCTATTACTTGCAGCAAGTTATGTTCAGCATTTGAGGAAACTTGGGGTGTATTGTGAATATAATTAAGTACTTTCTTATATACTTTGTAAATTTGCAAAAAAATAATAAACTAGTCTTTTTAATAAAACAGAGCACGGACTTTAATTTCCGAGCAACATATATTTATTTCAAAGCAATTCTGAATATTGTCGTCTTGAAGTTTACTTTGGACTCTTATTATTACAATTACCAAATTTAATATTTGTTATGTAATATTCATAATAAAGAATGTTAGTCATGTATTCATAAGATGGTTTTAAAGGTTATTTTTGTTACAAATAGTATCAGGGATTAATATTTTCCATTCTGGCAATTATTTGTTAAATCAAATACATTGAACGAAATTTATAAAATTGAATATTTTCTACCGTGTCTTCATTGGTTATAGATTTCGTCAAATTTCATGGCGATGACTTCATCGATATTCCCTGCAATGCCATTGGTCCACGCAATAGACGCCACGATCAGAAATTCCCTGCGGACCAATCACCGACAAGTACGCCAGCAAGATGGCGCCCGGAAATACCTCCACAAAGTCAAAACATTTCTCTAGCATTATTCCAACTTCCTGTTTCTAGATTTTTGTATCCCGTTACGTCATGAAAGCGTAAAATGATCGTTATTGTCCAGTGACTCGCATACGGTTCGATAACAAGGACGACACGAGCAGTGGAAAATCATCGGCAATTTCTGCAAAGGGAACTATTTTATCCGACAAACGTAGACTGTGCAGTGAAAGCGCAAGAGAAGCGTCCGATCCGTTAAACTCATTGCAATCCGTACGCCGTCGCCATTTTCGCCAATCAGAAATAACAAGTGTCCACATATACACTTGTTCCCGATAATAATCTTCCATCATAGTAATTCCGACATCGCGAGTGTGTTTTTAAAATCGAGATTCTAACGTACCCTAGAACATTTTATTGCACGGATAAATATACCGAGTTGTTCATTTGACTTCGTTTTCACGTCGTGCCGTCGGCAGCAGAGATTAAGCCAACATCGAAGGTTCTATAGAGACCTGGTTGCAGAATAGTTCTATTTTCCCTTAAGTAGATTGGAAATTAAATTTCTATGTCAATAATCCGCCGAAGATGCAACGTTTCAATGTAAAACTGAGGATAGTAAATGCCGTGACCCATTTCTTTGTTAAGATAGAAAGTATGACAGTGTAAAGTTTATGGAATTGTATTTTGTTTGGGTCTTCATGTCGATTTCTCATTCGCTCGCGTCGGGAAGATGGAGATCGTCGTCTGCATTAACGTTCATACTACGATATCGTTGATCATTTTATGTGGCTTATTTAAAAAGGGCTGCGATTCGAAACGTAGGTAATGAGCTTCGGTGTGCGCAAACGTGTTCGTTCCAATTACATGTGTCAGCAAGGTGTTCGTTCGAGGCGGAAAACTGGGCCGCCACGTGAGCGCCATCTTGGAATTATAACGGAACTCTCCGGGACAGTGACGCCGCACACGTCACGTAATAATGGTAAAATCGTGTGCACTGCTTTCCACGTGCGTTCTACTTAATAAATAATGACACCATTAACGGGGTCCTACCGAAAATCGATTGTAACGCGACATAAGTGTTAAAATATCGTTATGGATTTTGCGCCAACGTGTCGAAATGCATTATGGGTGGACGCGGAACGACGGAAATGGACTGCGGTTTGCGCGCCGATTAGTAACTAGAGAGGTTAGATTGCAATGCGGGAGAAAAATTCCGAATCGATGAATTTATTCAAAGCAAATTCCATAACCAGTTAACCAAAGAATGAAATAAACGTTGGCTGATACGTCAATACCCAAAACTGAATTGTCAATGCGTCAAGTACGTTGAAATCTGACCGTTAGTTTCGGGAAATGGATAATAAAACATGGTCACAAGTCGTAAATAAAAATTTTACCGTTATTTCACAGCCCACTCCCTTCGATCCTGTTACCTTATACCGTTTAAGCGCCTTCACGATATTTTCGGCTAGTAGTCCACATTCTCAAAAGACTGCAATTGCGTAAAAATTCAACGAGGATGTATCGAAATAATTTAATTCCACATAAAATTCCATCTTGTAGATACCTTCGCAATATCCATGAAAATGTTTGCACAAACCATTCAGAAGAATAATCACGAGATTCTAAATTACTGGTAATTTAGATTGTCTATTTTTTAATTTAATCGCCTAAATGAATCGGTGTAATATTTCGTTTTGAAATATTCATCGAAAGAGCGTCCAGATGCCGTTCAAAATTCGCGCCACTCGCAGGAGGGCCCCTTCGGGTATGTCCGGCAACGCTCGGGAGCACTCGGGCCCGCGGAGAGCGAGGGGAACGGATGGACAGGTCGGAGGTAAGGAACGGCGGAACGGGACCATTCGGTACGTCGCGGAAGAATGCGTAGCCATTGTTGGTGCTGCGATCGTTAGTTTCTAGATCCGAGATCGTCATGGGCCCGAAGAGTCATCCGACTGCGCGAGGTCCTAGGAAAATGTCGTCGGACCTTGGGACGGAGGATCTCTAGGATATTGGCGCTTCAGAGTGGGTCTGGCGATCGCAATCGAGAGGGTGGTCGATCCGCGTCGGTTCTTCGCGTATGCTCGCGCTCGCGCTCGCGCTCGCGCGAGTGAGAGTGAGTGAGTGACACGGTGGGGCACTCGGCTCGGCGCGGCGGCCATAACACCGATCAACCAAACTAGCGAGCAGGGAGAAAGCGTAGTGCGAGTGTCCGAGGCGTAGTGGTAGTGTTTTTGGTCGAATTCCCGAGAAAGTGGACTTCCAGTGATCAGGTAGGTGGATACGAGTGCTCCCGGGGTACTCGGGCGAGGTCTGCGGCACGAATAGCACGGCCTGAAAGTCGCGCTGCTGTCCGAGTAGTGGGTATAGCGACGGGCCCTTGGGAGCTTTCTTTCCCGAGCGGTCGAACCGCCATGTTGAATGAAACCTACGCCAAATCGAGCGCCCGGGAAGGCGCTCCGGATTCCCCGAGCCCCGCCGATCGCCTGTCGAAGACGCCGCGACCGAGGCGTCCGGGTTTTACGGACCCTTCTCGCCGCGCGTTCGCTGTGCCCGCGCATTTGCGAGTGCATCGGCTGGGCGCGGGTCCGCCTGCCTGCCTCTCAGCCTGTCCGTCTGTCCGCCTGCCTGCCTCCCAGCGAACCGCTTTCGCTTGCCCGGAAACTCCTCCGAGCCTTGGCTTCTTCTTTCCCTCCTCCTCGACGCACTCGCGCCCTTTTCTGCCCACTCTTCGGAGAGCCAACTTCTAACCACCTACCATCGGTCATGCTCTTCGATGCTTTCGAGCCCATTGAGTCTTCCTCGGTTTGTTCACTCTGTGGTTCGCTTTAATTGCTTAGAAGAAACTCTTCTCCTTTGCGGTTGGTTTATGGAACTTGTTCCTTGATTACGAGCGGTAAGCACTGTGGCTGTTGAACTCGTATGCTTTGTAGTTTACGAGAGGTTTTATGTTGTAGGTCTTCATTCCATTTCAAGTTTGTAAACACGTATGTTGTACAAGTTACGCCTAATTTGGTTCAAAACGTTACGGGGGATCAGAGAATACGAAACAGATGATTTGTACGTTCACCTTGGTTACGTTGTGTGGAGAATTATGAAAATCGTTAGAAGTTGCAAGCTATGTATGCAAGGTGGAGGAATTTGTACTGTGACTTTTGAGAGAATGGCTGGTGTCGATTTTTATGGAAACCGTGTTAACCTCTAATTTGATGTGGCATCGAGAAAGAAAATTCTCATATCTAAGTTTAGCGACAAGAGTATTAGACGATTGATATCAAAATGGTTTGAGCACAAATTTATGTGTTATTCGCTTACCTGCTGCTTTTGCTTAACCATTAAGTTCCTTGCCTTATAACTTTTATTTCTTTAGTCATATTCTTGCTCTTAAGACTGCATCTATCCTTTTCTTCGTACTTAAATCACCGGATTTTAATGGTCTTTTTTTTTTTGGCCATTTTTAATGGCCGGGACTTTAATGGTCATTAATTTTAAGAATCTATATGACTTCTTTGGAATTTATATCTATCTAATAGATTCAAAATATTTAATACTGGAGAATAGACGCATATCTTCATATATAATCTTTTCCATAACTTTGAACAGAATAATATTTATCACATGAAATTACTATTGTGCGTATAACCTATAAAGATGATCAACTTGGGGCATTGGGTACATATAAGTTTTATTTAATAATTCTTTATGCATTAATGGTTTATTAGAACTAATTTTTGAAAAGTAAAGAAGAAATAGGGTGAAAGTAACATGAAATTTTATTTTGTTATCCAGATGTTGCTAAAGTCGCAAGTCTTGACTGGAGGCACGGCGAATAGCAGCGGCGTACAAGGCTGACATTCGAGTCGCTACCATTCGGTAGGCTCGAGTAGTGTTATGCTTCCTCGGTACCGATTTCCCAGGTTGCAGCTCAATCGTCTTGGCAAGCAATCGGCAAGGTGCCATGCTCGGCACACGATACATCGTTGCCAATTCGGTTGTTGATGAAGCCTCGTAGCATCGAGCGACAACGTAAAGCAGTTACCTGCTGCGTAGCATTTATGTACCATATATGTCGGTAAGGTAAGTGAAATCTCATCTTGTGTTAAGCATGCATGATGCGTCCCTTACAATGAAACACAAAATTTCATTATTTTACCAATTGGTAAATTCAGATGTCATTAAGACTTCTGTAGGTCGCCATAAAGGAAATATTGCCCTAAAAGCATTTTAATCTTTTCTGTTATTCCGTTACAGAAACGAAACCAAGATGCAGCAGGTGGACACAATCTCGCAGAATAATTCGGTGAGTAAAAGAAATGCCTTTTATCTGTACATTTAAGCAATTCTGAATGCAACCTGCCTAATAACCTACTAATGTTATGTTCGGGAGGTACATAATTCCCATTGATGACACATTTCCAGTTAATATATTGTCGATTAAGTCGGCGACAGAATGTACGAAATTTTTAATCTTTTATCTCCTGATTCGTCTCCCAACTGATACACGGTCGTTCTGATTTACATCCCTATGTACTGTGTCACTGAAAAGGGAAGCAATACGAGCAACTGTAACTTTCAAGCTTGTAAATACATTGCTGTTGAAACTTGTGCGGTAACCTCTCTTAGTCTTTCAATGAGTCTTCTATGAAATACTTCTTTTTGATGAAGTAGAACATCCTCTAATTTCCTGTAATGTGCGATTTCACCATTCTAATTTGGAATTGTCGTATAGTATTGAAACTGTGTGCCGTTTGATTGAATAGTACGTATGAATTACAGTTAGATGTGGAGGAGCGAGAAAGGCTGTGTAATATACCGAAGGTGAGACTTCCTGGCGACTATTGATTCGATTGTCTTCATAATTCAAAAATTGGAGTTACATTTCGGATGCAGGACGAGCAGACTGTAATTTTTTTCTTGATCTATAATGTATACTCTGAATAATATATAACATACATAATATACTTAATAATTTGACAACATACACTCAAAAAGCCTTTGTTGATTCATGTCAGCATTGAGTTTTACCTTAACAATTAAGGAAAACCTTGACGAAGGCTGTTTTAACACATTTACCTATATTTATAAATTGTAGAATTCACTTATGCATATTAATAATATCTTTAAAGATATAAAAATGTGAACATGTTAAATTAAGCATTTGCCATCTAATAGATCAAGGCAAAATACTTTCTGCTCATTGTTATGTCATGTTTATTGTATTAGGGTGGTTCAAAATATTTCTAGCACCACATTAGTAATGAATTCCTCTAGTTCAAATTTTTTCATCTTTTTGTGTGCGGTTCCAATTAGAATAATTATTCACGTAAAATATTTTAACCGTCACGTTGATACTTTATTTGATTAACAAATGAGGAATACGTACTTTTGAACTACCCTCATACGATTGTTAGCTTGGATATGATTGCCTTTAGATTACAAAATTCAAAATTGCTTGTATGTGGTTATGGAATTTAAATATTTAGCAGCCTAATTCGCTCATCGCATGTGTGGGACAGTTGTTGGTTATATATATGTATAAATATTTTTATAGATAAATGTGCATGTCAGGGAACATTGAAATTAATACATAACAGTAACAAGATTAACGTGTTTCAAACCTGTTTCGGGAATTTTTAATACTTCTCTAACGTATATATGTTGTCCACTGTTTGCTTGGTGTTTCTTTTTTCTTTAACCGTTGTTCACGTAAGTTTAATTTGCACTTTCCATGGGAAAGGATGTTTTGTTAACACGATAACAGAAAAAAAAAAAAAAATAGCTAACGAGAGTATTAATTTATCATTCAGTAATATAATTCAGTAAACGTTCGAAAAGTATATTAAAGGCATGATTATTTAATAGTGTATCCGTATCCTGATATTTCATTCGATGTAAGGAAATTTTCATTAAATATCACTTTCTTTTGCGCTTTTAGAAAGAGATGACCTTGTTACATAATGTATTAGCTGAATCTCATATGTAGTTGAAACTGTAGATAATATACTAACAAATAAATCGGAGCCAAGAAATGCTTACACGTTAAAAATATGATCGGACCTGGGCTAAGCAGACAAGTGCACCTGGCAAAGCATCGACCACACCGGCTGCTCCTGCGAAGGAACCACCTCCACGAGAAGAGCCACCGGTGGAGCCTGTCAACGGTGTGGTGCAGCCACCAGTTGTACCACCACCAAATCGACCAGGACGCGTTACCAATCAATTGCAATTCCTGCAGAAGGGTGTACTGAAGCCAGTATGGAAGCACCAATTCGCTTGGCCCTTCCAGCAGCCTGTCGATGCGAGAAAGCTCAATTTGCCAGTATGTATAACACGAATTCATTAAACACTGGCCGTAATCAGAACCATTACCTGATCACAGCCGTTCAATCCGTTACTTGTAACATTGCAAAATGTCAACCAGGACTACCACAAAATCATCAAACAACCAATGGATCTGGGTACAATCAAAAAACGCTTGGAGAACACGTACTATTGGAGCGGGAAGGAGTGTATACAGGACTTCAATACTATGTTCACCAACTGCTACGTTTACAACAAACCGGGAGAGGACGTCGTGGTCATGGCTCAGGCGCTCGAGAAATTGTTTCTTACGAAGGTAAGCGGATTGTAATTATACGAGAATCCGGAGATTCCACGAGGATCTCGAGACGGAGACGCGCGTACCGTCCTTGTAAGTCTAACCAAACGGTACAGAGTCGAACGATTTTTTAGGTTGCACAAATGCCGAAGGAAGAGGTGGAGCTCGACCCACCTGTCCCGAAAGGACCGAAGGGGAAAAAAGTCGGCAGAGTAGGTGGACCGGCTGTCGGGGTTGTAGGAGGTACTGGAAGCACCGGTCGGGGTCGACCTTCTTCCGGAGCTGCTGCCGTCAGTTCGAGCGTTCCAAACAGCTTGACACCTTCGGCAACTTCCGCTGGAACCACCGGTGTCATACCTATGCCGCCCCTCGGCACTCAGGCGCCTGCTTCCGTGCCCGGAAGCACGAACACCACCACCATTGCTCCACCACCATCCAGCATGGGGGTGGCGCCTATTGTTACTCATAACTCCCTGCCACAACAAGTTATCCCTCCGACCACTGGCTACCATGCACAACCTGCGATGGATCCCCAGGCTGCCTCCGCTGTACCTCCCCCTCCGCAAGTTCCCACTGCCCCTACCGTTATGCCGCCTTCTCAACCAGCTAAACTTAAAAAGGGAGTGAAGAGAAAGGCTGATACTACGACGCCTACCGCCAATTCGTTCGAACCCCATTACGCGCCCATTGACGCCAAAAACGCCAAGATCCCTACGAGACGAGAGTCCGGGAGGCAGATTAAGAAGGTGAGCATCGCTGGGATTGATCTACACCTGGGGATATGTATCATATATTTTGATTGTGCTAATTTTGGAGAATAGGGCTTATCGAGTCGATCATTGACTGCTCGTGATGTGGAAATTTGGGCTATATGGGGTTCATGTACCTCGTCGTGATTTCACTTTTTCCGCTTCATTATATTGGCGAAATTAAGGTGATATGATAGGATCATTTTATATATGTGAAACGTCAATATATTTATAAAACTTTTCTCCAAATTGGGTGAACCGAACCGCTAAAAACTTCAGCATATGATTATGGAGGTCCTAAAGAACGCGATGCTCACAAAAATTTGTTTATCCAACCCAGGCTAGAACTAAGCACACATTTTTCTTTTTTTTTTTTATGAAATTTTATGAGCATCGTGTCCTTTAGGACCTCCATAATCGCATGCTGAAGTTTCAAGAGATTTGGTGCGCCCAGTTTGGAGGAATGTTTTATAAATATTTTGACGGTTCATATATGTAGAATGAACCTTTCATATCACCTTAATATCGAGTTTCAAGCTGGAACATCGCATGTGTACGATTGTTCCCCCGGAGCTTTGGGTTCATTTATTAATTTTTTTCGAAGCCTTTCATGGTGTAATTTCGCAACCTTGGAATTGGTTACATTTTCGTGAAATAATATATGCGTCCAAGGGTGGAGAGTAAAATTGTTTAATTGGTCTGTCGTTTGTAACTTGAAAGATTCGATCATGATCGTATTGATTGGAAACATCGTAACACACCTCGATGTGACATCACGCACTGTCATTGCATTAACAACTAACAAACGGTTGATGATGGGCTGTTTCAGCCGACGAGGCAAGCCGAAGATGGCCTGGTGCCATTCCATCAGGCCAACATGCCCCTGATGGGAGCCATGGCCCAACAGGTACATTTCTCTCTCATTTTTTTTCTGTCGACTCAGGCCACGCTGTGTTTCATTTGTGTTTGTCCTCTCATTTTTCCGTAAACTGCTTTTAATATACTTACTCTACCGTGAATTATTAAACTACGTTTAATTCATATCCGGAGCAATTGTTGATATTTGTTCTGCGAACCTTGGTGATGAGTCATTTTTAGAAGTTACGTTGCATCTTTAACGTGTTCCGTGCCACGTGTACCACCGTGGTACGCGTTAAACTCGGCTAGTACACGGCGTGACACGGAACGTGTTAACCGTGCGGACCGACGAATTTAGAAGTAAATGGCGATCACGGGTATCGCAAAACCGATTAATAGGTTTCCGATCGGTAAAGTGTTAAGGGGATGTGAAAGTGGTATCCGAGATATCAATTGTTCATGAAACTTTTCTCCGAATTGGGTGTATCGAATCGTTTCAAACTTTAGAACGTGGATATGGGGGCTACAAGGAAAGTCCTGACGTCCATGAAATTTCATTTTTCATAAAAATATTTCAAAATGATTAAACAAATTTTTTAAAAAAGTTGAAATTTCATGGGTGTCACGATCTTTCTTTTAGCCGCTAAATTCACATTGTAAAGTTTGAAATGATTCAGTACACTCAGTTCGAAGAAAAGTTTCATAAACGAGACTTGATTGCCGTCATTTTCACATCACCTTAAATTAAACTCGATCTAATAAGTCGATGTAAAATGTGCAGACTGGGGATTTGGGTGGTTCGAATGTTAGATCGAAGTCTGTGGGCGAGGTCTTCAGGATAGTCGTCACCAAAGAGGACGGAAAAAGAAAACGCGTTTAGAACTAGACCTAGGATCAATCGATTGAATTTTCTAAGTTTCCTTAATTTTTCAGCCGCAGCACACTGGTGGAAAATTCAAAGAGAAACTCTCGGAAGCTCTGAAGTCTTGCAACGAGATACTCAAGGAACTCTTTTCCAAAAAGCACTCGGTAATTATTCCAGAGATTTCTTCAATGTTTGTCGTTTTGTGTATCATTCCATTCTAATAATTTTTTTTTTTTCATGCATAACAGGGTTACGCGTGGCCCTTTTACAAACCTGTCGACGCGGAGCTTTTAGGCCTTCATGATTATCATGACATCATAAAGAAACCCATGGATCTTGGTAGTGTAAAAGTGAGTCACTTGGATTTTGATAAATTGTTTAGCGATTCAAGAATGCCCGTTAATGAGCCTTTGTTTGCCAGACAAAAATGGATAGTCGCGAATACAAGACGGCGCAGGAATTCGCGGACGACGTACGGCTAATATTCACTAATTGCTACAAGTACAATCCCCCTGACCACGATGTCGTTGCCATGGCCAGGAAGTTACAAGATGTATTCGAGATGAGGTATGGGAATATTTGACGACCTTTTATTAGGTTTCTCGTAAGGTCAGCACTTTATATAATTGAATTCTGTAGGTACGCAAAAATACCGGATGAGCCAGCAACTGGAATGGTTGGCATAAAAGGTAGCAGTAGTAGTGCGAGTAGTTCAGCATCCGAAAGTTCTTCCGAGAGCGACGACTCAGAGGCGGAACGTAACCAAAAATTGGTGGCGTTGCAACAAGAGGTACTTCGGATTATTTAAAATCAACATTTTTATATCATTAAGATCATTTAATCGCGACGTCTCCCGTTCTCCAATTGAAACATGCTAAGAACTGACAATGGACTAGACCAAAATTAAAATACTTTCAAATATTGAGCATATTCAAGCGATTTATGATAACGCTCTAACCTTTCTTAAACGATGATACACAGAAACGGGGAAACGATGCAATCAGTTAAAAACAATTGTATCTATTAAGGGGATGCGAAAGTGGCATACAAGGGATCGATCGTGCATGAAACTTTTTTACGAACTGGATGCGCGGAATCGTTTCAAATGTTACAAAATGAATATGGTGGCTATAAGGTAGGCCCGACATCCGTGAAATTTCATTTCTTAAAAAAAAAAAATTAAAAGGCGTCTATAGACAAATTCTTAAAACCGTGAAATTTCATGATTGTCGGGATCTTCCTTGTGGCCCTCATATTCACGTTGTAAAGTTTGAACCGATTCGGTATATGTAGTTCGAAGAAAAGTTCCATAAACAAGATCTCTCGGACGCCACTTTTACATCATCTTAAGGTGTAATGAAAGTGTCATATATATATATATCAAAAGGTCAGAACATTTATAAAACTTTTCTCCAAACTGGGTGCGCCGAATAATTTGAAACATTAACGCGTGGTTATAGAGGTCCTAACGAAGGTCTTAAAACTCGCGAAATTTCATTTTTCGAGAAAAAAATGTATCCCGGCAAGAACAAAAAAAGAAATTTCGCGAGTTTGAAGACCTTTATTAGGACCTCCATAATCCAGCATTAAAGTTTCAAATTATTCGGCGCACCCAGTTTGGAGAAAAATTTTATAAATATTTTCAAGTCTTAATGTAAATAGAATGACCCTTTCGTATAACCTTAAACGGCGAAATTTCGTTCTTCCTGTTTTGTACTTAAGCTCCGAATGCTCTTTGCAGCTCAAAGCTATGCAAGAGCAGATGAGAAAACTAGTGGAGGAGAGTGGGAAGAAGAAGAGTAGGAAGAAGAAGTCGGACAAGCCGAAGTCGAAACCTATGAGCAATAAAAGTGCGCCCCTGGTCGCCAGCCACAGTGGTGCCATGAAAGAACTTATGAAGCCGAGTGGTGGTGTTCCAAGTGTTTCCGACAGTGTCGGTGCTAGTATAGCAAGCGTGGCAATGGGTGCCGGTGACTTGAAAATGCCCGGAGGCATGGGTGGTGATCTCCATCATCCAGCGATCGCAGTTGGCCCTAATAAGACCCATACTGCTGCTGGACTGGGTCACCACTTACCCACTGCGACCAACGCGAAACCCAAGGGCAAGGGGAGAGGACCTGGAAAAGCTGCCGCGGCTAATCCCGTCAACAAAAGGCCCAAGACGAACAGTAGATCTACTGGGAACAAAAAGAAAAACGCCAGCAACCAACCAGCTCCTATCACGTTCGACTCGGAGGACGAGGACAACGCTAAGCCGATGTCTTACGACGAAAAGAGACAGCTTAGTTTAGACATTAACAAACTGCCCGGTTAGTAACGTCCACCACATTGGAATCTTTGGGATCTGACGTAAAAGTGGCGTCAAAGAGGTCTCGTTTATAGAACTTTTCTCCGAAATGGGTGTACCGAATCGGTTCCAACTTCAGAATGTGAATGTGAAGGCTATAAGGAAGGTCCTGACAATCATGAAATTTCAATTTTTTTAAACTTAGTTATAGACTTTTTATTTTATATATATATACATATAAAATTAAATTTATGGGTGTCGGGACCTTCTCTATAGTCTTCATATTCATGTTGTAAAGTCTGAAACGATTCGGTACATCTAGTTCGGAGAAAAGTTTCATGGGCGATTGACCCCTTCGATGCCTCTTTCACAACCTCTTAAGGTGATGTGAAAGGGTCACTCTATGTATATATAACTAGATGCACCTAATATTTTGAAACTTTAACATGTTATTACGGATGTTTTAAAAACGGTCTTAAAACTCACAAAATTAGATTTTTCGAACAAACCTGTTTTTTGGTTCTTATCCCAGATAAATACATTTTTTTTTTTTCAAAAATTAAATTTCACGAGTTTCGAGGCCTTTTACATGTTAATGTTTCAAATTATTCGGTGCACCCAGTTTGAAGAAAAGTTTTATAAATAATTTGACGATTTGATACACATATATGACACTTCCATAACACCTTAAATTACGTATATTCTGATTGTCCGGTTAAATAATTATTCTTGGTGATTTGCAGGAGATAAATTGGGACGGGTCGTGCACATAATTCAGTCTCGTGAGCCCTCGTTGAGGGATTCGAATCCGGATGAGATCGAAATTGATTTTGAAACGTTGAAGCCATCCACCCTGAGGGAGCTGGAAAGCTACGTCGCTTCCTGCCTCAGAAAAAAACCACGTAAGCTCTATTGTAAGTTCCGTTCCAGCGTCGCGCAAGGACCCAGCATCTCTCACCTGTTTCTCACCTGCCGCACACTGCGCATTTCGCACGGATATTCCTCTTAACTTTAACAAGACGAGCGGACCATTTGGTACTTCGGTCCGCTAAGTTGCGAGTTCGTCATTAAATACCGAAACTAAGTTCCAACGGTGACGTATCTTTTAATTTCCTTTACTAATCGTCGTACAGTGTGCAGCAGACGGTCCTGAGCTGACGTTCACGAGTGGAACTACTTGTAACCATTTACAGTTTATTTGGCAAGCACGTTATTTCTGCACGTTATGTTAATTTAGCATGCCATTAAACGTACCAATTTATGGTACATCGTATTAACGGTGAAGAGCACTGCGACGTGTGCGCACGTTTTTTATTATTTTATTATTATTTTTTTAATAGCGTATTGCAATCCGTTATGTCTATTAACATTATCTATGACCAGTTTTCTCAATACTGATATCATTCATTGAATAATATGTACACTTGACAATTTGTAATCGACGTCGAGCAACTCGCGTATCATTACAAAATGACCTACAGGTTAAAGTGTTGAAGCAGGATATTGAACGTCTATTCGTGAGAATTGAAATTCCAATTTTTAAAAAATTGTTTCTACAAAAAATGAAATTGCACGGGTGTCACGATTTTCCCTATAGCCTCCATATTCACGTCGAAAAATTTGAAACGATTCGGTGCACCCTGTTCGGAGAAAAGTTTCCTGAACGATTGACCTTTTGGATACGACTTTCACATCTTAGAATGAAAAAAAAGAACGATCAAATTAGATCGAATATAAATATGAAAATGGGAGCAAAAATCTGCCCTTGGTCGTATATTAAGGTATTAAGGGAGGTCAGTTTTATTCACGATGAAATGCTTGTCCGTAGATAAAAAAGTAAGCGGCAAATCCAAGGACGAGCAGATCGCGGAAAGGAAACAAGAGCTGGAGAAGAGGTTGGAAGATGTGTCGGGGCAATTGGGCAATGTCAAAAAGGCTGCAAAGAAAGGTTTGTACCGCAAAAAGCGACGTTTTTTGTAGTTTGTCACTTCGAACGATATCTGTCCAACGGAGTCATTAATCGAATCCCCGTTCCCCGTTCGCAATTCCAGAGGATTGTAGTAAATCCGTGGACGTGGTCGGCACCGGCGGAGCCAGTGGTCCGACGAGGTTGTCGGCGTCTAGCAGTAGTAGCAGCGACAGCGACTCCAGCAGTAGTTCACTATCATCAAGCTCCAGCGACTCGAGCGACAGTGAAGCAGGTTAGATATGAAGCTCATGTAAATGTTGCCAGTATCATACCCTTCACTTGGGAACAAGAAGCTACTTGCGACGAGTAGCTCGCTAAATGACGAGAGACGAGACGAGATTCGAGAATCACGGGGATCGATCTTCGCTCCGTCGTCGCGCGTTAGACCTGGCCAATGCCAGGATACATAAGTTTTTTGCAACATAAGTTCTTCTCTCTCGAGTTTCCTTCCTTCTTTTTTTTTTATCCGCGTTTTTTCTACGCCTCCACGATAACGTCGAACGGGCACGGACCTCTGTTCCGCGTGTCGCGGGTCTCGGGACTCTTGGTGACGACAATACGCGTTATTTTGCACACACGGCTAATCGCATCCCTTTCCGCGAAACCCGGACGACCGAGTCGAAGAAGGTCCCGTTTCCCGATAACCGAGGAGCTAGTTGAACACCTTCCGTGGGATATGTAAGGTCTCGTCCGTCCTCGATGCACTCGTATGCTACCCTCAGGGGGCGAGCCGACGCGGCTCTAGGGCCTCGCCGCTGCAACGGGCGCCGCAACACGCTGAGCCGCTGCGAGTCGCCACGTTTAGACCTGCGATTTCATCTTTTAACTGAAATTGAAAATTATCGAAAGTGAATGTACTAAGCCAGGCGCGTTTCTTGAAGGAGACGCGATCAATACACGGTATGGTGACACGCAGTGGCACCGCTTCGGCATTTATCGTACGTAGTTCGATACGTAAACTCGCGGTGTCCCACCGGACGGGACCGATCGATCGTATTTAGGATGAACCTAAGGACAGCTACCTACTTTCGGGAAGGTAAACCAGTAATCTCGACCCTCGCCGACCAAACACTCGTTGATTATTTGGAGTTAACCTGCTTTATCGGGATATCTTATCTCTCTGTAACTGTCGGTCGATCGCGTAAAGGGAACACACGGCTCCTCCTTCGACAACGCGCGTTTCCGCGATCCGGTTTAAACTACGCACGGGATCGCAACTCGTTCTTGTCGTCCTCGTTCGCCGTATCTCTCGACTGATTCCGCGGCTCGTTTATAATAACCGGGTTAAAAGAAAAAAATTCGGGGAGACGCGTCCGGCATCTTGGCGGCAGCGCGGCGCCGTGGCACTGCCGGGTATAAAAAAGGAAAAGAAACCTCTTCTCGTAATTAACCACTTCGGTACGGCGCTCACCGGCCGGCGGGTTCATATCACGGCCGTCGACTAAAGTCGACGCTCGGCTGTGTACGTTCATCTGTGGCTGTCGACTATAGTCGACGGTCGTACCGAAGTGGTTAAATAATTGTAAACATACCAAAATCCATCGACGGATTCGTCCTCGCCCGTGAGGGCTGCACAAATCTATTATCGGCGAGAAACATCCTATACTTGAGCTGCTGCTGATGATGAATATTCCTTACTAATTATTCTATTTATTAGGAGGGCGTCGTCGTCGCGGCTAGGACGCCGCGTTGATCATACGTCGACAGAGACCGCGGGCGGCGCGTCGAGGGTGTCACATTGGGCGCTCGGTGGTTATCGTTAGAGGTTAGCTCGATAGACTTTTGTACATAGAGAAGATGATCGTCGACCTGGATCCTTCCTGGATATTCCCACTCTGGGTTGGAGGTCCCATGGATCGGAGCCCCGATACACCGCCCTCGACGACTCTCGACGCTGCGGCTCGCGGCTCGGCTCGTAGCTTAAGAGGACCCTTTTGTTTAATTTATTAAAAATGATGCGTGTAATGGGTAAGAACAAGGTGAGCTAGTGGAGTGCAGACTGTGTTTAGAGGATACCACATGCCATGCCAGCTTATATATACATATATACATATATTTGACGAGATTGCCTGCCGGTGATTTGTGAAACAATCGGTCACGATTCGAGGCGAGTTCGAGCGAGCTTTTCTCTCACGTGGCCCCCTGTCGGCGTGGACGAGAAATATGGAGGAGTTGATGCTTTTTATTATTTTATTTTCTATTTCTTTTTCGTTTTTTTTTCCTTGCGCCTCTTGCACGCCGACGATTGGGACGGGCGTGCAGGAAAAGTCCGCGAGGATGTGCCGGACCTGTTCGAGGGAGACTGCAGGCTCGCCTGAGACATCTGCCGGTTGTTTGAGGAGATGATGGGACATTTTGTCACCCATCCAAGTGAGATATTTCTCCGCTCGTGTAGTCTCTCCCGATACAACCTCCGCTTCGCCCGCAGTCGAGTGATACGCAAGCAAACAGCGGGCGGAGATGCCTGCTGCTAACCTCGATTATTATTTACACTGTGTACAACTCGTTATCGTAAGGGCCGGAGTTTTCGGCCACTTAGTCGACGCACCTCGTCGCGGGGCATATACCGATCATGGCTACCACCTGGACATCGGCTCATTTTTCGAATCTCGTATCATTTCTTCTTGGGGATCGGCGTTTCCTTTTTCCGAGCGCGTCACGCCACGCACTCTTCTCGTACGTGGACTTCCAGGGGGACGCGATGGAGGTTTAAGGTGACGTGGCAGTTGCAGAAGGGTCTCCTTTATGACACTTATCTCCGAACTGGGTGGATAGAATCGTTTGAAACTTTCCCTTTTGAAAGGGGAGGCACTAAGGAAGATCCCGGCACTCGTGAAACTTCCCGTTTTTACACGAAATTTAAAAAATGTTTATAAACAAATCTTAATAAGTTTAGTCTCATCAGTGTCGAGACCTTCCTTAACGCTTTCCTGTTCACGTGGTGAGATTTCAAACGATTTGGGAGAGTCGGTTTGGAGAGAATTGTCAAAAGGTTAACTCCTCAGAAGCCACTTTCGTATCGCCTTAAGGGGATGTGAAAGTGGCACCCGAAAGGTCAATCGTTCATGAAACTTTTCTACAAACTAGGTGTACTGAATCGTTTTAAACTTTACAACGTGAACGTGGAAGCTATATGGAAGTTCCCGATACTCATGAAATTTCATTTTTTATACAACACTTTCAAAATGTCTATAAACAAATTTTGTTTAAATTGAAATTTCATGGTTGTCTGGACCTTCCTTACAGCCTCGACATTCACGCTGCAACGTTTTAAAGGTCTCGGAGCACCCAGTTCGGGGAAAAGTTTCATAAACGAGAGTACTTTGGCGTCATTTTCACATCGCCTTAAGGGGACTAGGCCGTGCCACGTTAGAATCCAAAAGGCCTAGTCTGGGGGTTGATTTCGGAGTCCTTGATAGGAGTTTTGCGATCCAGGGGAAGTGGATGTGTCCATGGCCCACCTTCTCGATAACCGGTCGCCTGATAATCGATCGCTGATAAAGTTACACGTGGCTTTAGGGAGGTGCCGGTGTACGTGGGCATTGTCGTTCGGCGTACTCAAAATCGGGGAAAGCCTAGAGAAACTCGACCCTCGGTACCTCGGAGGATTACGAACCAGGCAGTCAGACGAGTTGCCGCTAACTTGCGCTAAATAAATGCAGACAATGTGTATTGGTGGCTGGTTTTCCGAGCGAGCGCATTGTGAGTCTCTTAGGTTGACTCTGTCGGCTGTAATGGAGATGTCCCTGTCGTTCGCACATCTTGGCACGAATGGAAATCATCTCTAAATAATCCCGAAAAAGAGAAAGTGCGAGGGGGTGTTCACTCAGGAAATCATGGATTTTAATGCTGGAGATCAGCTAGAAATCGTTAAAAATCGCCATAACATTGCCACGATTTTAGGGCCAAACGTCACTTGTTATCGAATCGCATTGTTGTCTGTCGTATGAAATCGAAGGCAATCAACTCTCAATGAAAGAAATCGTTTTCACTGATTTCCAAGAGAATAGCCCCTCGAATAAATATGTAAACAATACCCTGACGTCAGTCGCACTTTTGCTCGAGGTGACCGTTGATTAAAAGAGAACCATGGAGAAAAACTGGAAGCTGAAACGAGGGAAACGAAATACAGAACCCTTGAACGAAAATTGAGTGATTTGGAGCGTCATATAAACGTATAAAATATGTATACAATTTTTTGTTTAAAAAAAAAAGAATAAATTCACGTAAAAAGTGCACTATTCATCGCTTGTTTAATTGCTTGCGGGAGAGTATGGCGACATTTTGGATTGGATATGCAAATGGTAGATTTATGGTATGACGATTTCGGATTAAAATTGCTCAGTTTACGTTTAAGGCCGTGAGAAAGTGCCGGCTAAGGGGGCAATTGTTCATGAAACTTTTTTAAGTACTTGGTGCACCGAATGGTTTCAAATTTTACAACGTGAATATGGAGGATATAAGGAAAGTCCTGACACCCGTGAAATTTCCGGTTTTTTTTTTTTCAAAAAAATTAACAAACATTTTTTTAAATAGAATTTCATTGGTGTCGGCGGCTTCTTTATAGCCTCCATATTCACGTTGTAAAACTTGAAGCGATTCGGTTCTCCCAGTTCGGAGAAATGTTTCGCAAACGAATTCTCTTTGACGCCACTTGTATATCGCCTTAAGCGTTGAAAGTCGCTCAGTTGGCTAGTAGAGTTACATGAAAACCGACCGATCTTCCGAAGTCTTTCAATATTTTATCGATGACCGACCCCGATTTCATGTCGCCGTAAGTCAGTCAGAGTTGCTCACTCCTTTGATGATGGAAAAAACATAATGGCAGACTCCCTTAACTCCCTTACTCATTCAACGGCTCTCCGGTAAGGTGCGCGAAACCGAAGCTACTTGCTATCAAGTATTGTCTCGTTATTTCCCGTAAGGATAAATTATATTCCTTCGGTGTACGGAGTAGATTCGTAATTCCCGCCTCGTGTCACGTGACGTGGGCGTTAAACGATAGTTCGACTGACAAAATTTAAGGCTGTACGAAACGTTACGAGTAAACTATTTCGCAATCTCTGTATTAAGGGGATGTGAAAATGGCACCCTAAAAGTCAACCGTTCATGAAACTTTTTTTCGAACTGGGTGTGCCGAATAGTTTCAAACTTTGCAACGTGAACAGTAGAGGCTACAAGAAAGGTCCTGGCACTCGTGAGATTTCATTTTTTATAAAATAAAAAAAAATG